TGTGTGTGTGTGTGTGTGTGTGTGTGTGTGTGTGTGTGTGTGTGTGTTTGTTGAAATGGGAATATTTGTTCTGATGAAAAATGCAGAAAGTCAGCTGAATTAATAATGGGAGGAATTTCTGATGCCTCTCATCATGGCCAAATTAGCATTTGTTGTGTATTTTGTACCTAAATTGTATTTCAACATCATTAAAATTGATAGAGTGCTACCTCTTGGGTGTTTATTTAGTTAAGTGGAGAGAGAGAGATGAGGGAAAGTTATAACAATCAGCACACTTCTCTCTAGACAGGCCCGGTCGTTCTAACTCCCATTATCCGTTTTCACAGCACCCCAACATGCTCAAGATCAAGGGGGCAGCCGGGGGCTTGGATTGACTCACACACACACTTGACAGCCAGCCTCTCTTTTCCCTTGGCCTTTCTCTCTTTTGCTGCCTTTCCATCTCTCTCCCTCTGTAATCTCCAGGGCCCTCGCCCCTATAAGACTGTAGTAAACTGTACCAAAACCCTGGCAGTCGTCTCCTTCCTCGCAGGCGAATTACTCTCTAATCCCTGTAATGAGTCCAAAGATGCTTATTTATGCTGGAGTTAACCTCCACCAGTGAGCCCAGCCGCAGGCCAAACGCACCCCAGCTGAGTGAAGCCTTTCCTGGGCTGACAAGAGAAGAGAAGGGTTGGGCGGGGGGGGCTACCTCCCACCTCTTCTTCCCTCCCCCTTCCTCCCCTCTCCCGCTCTGATCACTACGGCTTAATTGCTGATTGCCGAGACGATCAATCGGAACTGCAGGCGTGATAGAAAGCCTATTGCGGAGAGCTGGTCTCAGATCTACCGGCTCAAACAGACGTACACACATTTGCACTCAGATGAGGTTAATGTTTCTGTTGAGCGGAGAGGATAGCATGACATTTTTGCCCTCGTGAGGTGCATGCATGCCCCGAAGAATACTGGGTAGGTGAACTGACAGGATCTTAAATTATTTATGTTACTTACTATGTGATCTTTATTTCTCCGCAGGTTTGTAGAGTATATGTGCTAAAGTATATGTACTTGGTGGTGCAATTCAAAGCCAAAGGTAATGAATTGTATTCATTCAAAAGTATTGAAATAGCCCCTCGATTGATTCAAATGTAATGTTCACCTTGAGGTGGGGGTTACAATCCTACATGATGATTGGTTTGACATTATGTACAGAACACAGGGGCTCATCATATGGATACTTGGAGGTCCTCTCACATCAAGGACATTCTGACTAATGAATCCTATAGCGATGCATATAGTGTAGAGACGGGGGAGACTGTCTGTCAATACTTCATGCACTACATTGCATTAAAGTACAGCGAGTCCCAGAAGGTGAAATTAAAGAGATGTTTGAGATTAAGGATGCATATATGATTAACCGTAATGCCCCCGGGACATGTCATTGTCTTAACATTCAGGCAGACGTACAATCCAAACCTTTTTGCTCTTATTACTCTACAACTCCAACTGAAGTCCCCAATCCCCAGGAAAGAGAAAAGATAAAGAAGAAACAGTGCATTAGAGTCCATTAATTGAGTTAGGCCTATGGATTGAATTAGTTGGAAGTTGGAACAGGGCTCTGGAGTTAAAGGAAGGTAGCTAGGGCTCCGTTAAGCCTATCTGTCTCTGGATCTTTTCTAATTCACAGGCTCCGTGTGGAGAAGGAAAAGAGGAAGAAGCGCAGATTCCCAGCGGCTATGCAAAGCAATCTGCCCATTCACACACAGCCATTTAGGGAGCAAATTGGCCCTGTGCCCCCTCTGACGAAGGTTTTAAGAGAAAGGGAATTAGGGTGTTGAATCCCTAACTAGATCTCCTTCTTTGATGAGCCTCTTTATCCGCCTGTCCCTCATCTCCATTTCTTTGATGTGAGGCGTTGATTTTCCTGATTAAATAGTTTTTAAAGTAAAAAGCTCTTCTCTTGGCTCTGTAATACCGGGTACTTTGCAGTACCTATTGTAGGTTCGTTTGTGTGCATGCTTGCCGAACGGTCCATCTGTGGTATTCTGTTAATTGGAACAGAGCCGTTGGGTTGCAGATAATAAGGATAGTACAATAGCTTTGATTCGTACATGCATATTTTTCTCTGAGAAAGAATGTTATCATTTAAGCGTATGCCTGGCTTTTACCTCTTCATTTGAAATGGCTAGAAGGATTTAGAAAGCCCTATGCATCACTAATGAAATTAAAGAGTAAAAACACCTGTGCTTTTTCACTTCAACAAAATTCCATCTCTGATCCTTTGGCTCATGGTGAAAGCTTTTACCTACTTTTCAACAGGTAAGGGAATTACACCCCTCTTCTAGTTGGTAGATGTTTCCAAATACTGACATCCCTTTCAACGAGCAAATGACATTATTTCCATGCCAAAAAGAGGATGAAACAAAAAAATGCACCATTTATTTGTTAACACCTCAGAGGATTTTTGACACCTGTATATGTTTTTCTTGTGGCATGTCCAATATGTCAGAAGTTTTTATCTCTCATATTTCATCTATTCAATAAAAGACATGCCAAACATAAAACAGCAGAATTCCTCCAAGGTAGTGAAATCCTAGGTGTGCTCGAGTTCAGGGCTGCAGCCGCTGCAGGTACCTGTGTTATGAGAGTTCTTTCAACACCTGCCGGGCTTTGGATACCACCGGGCCCAATTATCTTAGTCTGCCTCCTCTTCTTAACCACCTCTTCAGTCTAACAGGTCAGGGGGACAATCAATCACTCCTAAAATAAGGAAGTAATTTCCTGAGCTTTTATCGTGGTGTTGAGGTTTTGTCTGGTTGCATTTCACACCTTCAGAGAAAATGGAGCGGCACTGGTTTGGGAATATACAGAATTTGACCTTTTCGTCTTTGTTCTCAAGACCCAGGATAATTTAGGATCTATATAGGATCTATATGTTCACCTCAATATGTGCCGTTTGAAATAGCAAATACAAAGATCAAGAAAATACAGTAAAAAAGTCCTGCGTCTTATGATACACGTCGATAAAGGTTATGCTACTGTATAACTTGAAAAAGTTTAAATGTAGGCTGTATCCTCCTCCACATCAGAAACAAAGATATCCCTGACAGCAAGCATGCAGACACAGTTATGGAGGGAGACTCATAAACCTGTGTTATACTGCATCTATCTCTATCCACCTTTAAAACACTTTTTTTTAATTAGTTGCATGGTTATTTTCAACAGCTGTGTTCACACTGTAATTAGTAATAGTTTATATTAAAATAAACACTTTTTAAAATATACTACAAACTGATATTTTTATTACATACATTATGCTGATCTTACCATTACATAATATATTTTTTCTAATATATTTATTTTTTCATTCTGTGATTGAACATTAAATTACAGTGTTGTAAAATGACTGGACAAGTGAGTCATTTGAGGCTGCACGTAATAAAAACACCAAAGAGGCACCGGCTGCGAATTTTATATTTCACATCCTCCTACACTAACACAGGGCTAAAGAGATGGAATCAAACTTCACCTGACCTGTCCTCTGATTGGATGAACCAGGACAGCAGTAGCGAGGGGATTGGACAAATGACCACAGGGCATCATGGGGGATTATACACAGGTGTGTTGTGGTGGGCCTGGGGTTAGATCTGCCAAAGCCAAGCCTGTTTGTGTGTGTGTGTGTGTGTGTGTGTGTGTGTGTGTGTGTGTGTGTGTGTGTGTGTGTGTGTGAGTGTGTGCATCCTCTAGTCTGCTTATGTGTTTAGCCATCTCAGTCCTCTTCCTACTGATGTCTAGAACAGACTAAATGAGCAATAATCTGCACACATCCCTCCAGATGTCCCAATGAATTTCCTGTGGCTTAAGGCACCAGCTGAGCTCTTTGAAAGTTTTGATAACTTCTGCAAATGTGATTGAACCTCTGCTTGTTCAGGAATGTAGTGCGGGACACAATGTGCTTATTCCTATTTTCCTTCAAAGAGATGAAAAAGGAGGCATGCGCTTGGCTCCGGTACTAGTGCACCTTTTAGTACAATATAGGTTATGCTTTTTAAGAGAAAGATGTTTGATGTACCAGCTGAGAAATGAATGTTTAAAAGCATTATTCTCATAAACTTTTTCAAGTTGCACCATTTAAAATGATTTTCACTGTAATAATTGATGGTATTAAAATTATCATAAAATGAATGGCAGATTACATGTTCATAGTTTTTCTTTTTACCTACAATATGGTATACAGTATCTATATATAATTTTATATTGTTGGAGCTCAGGCAATTATCTCATTTCTATAAATATGTGATGTTATTTATTTGTATTTTGTGTGTGGGGGGGGGGGGGGGGCTCTGATCATTGTGCAATCAACCAGTTGTCAGCAACAACAGAGGAAGACAGTGAAGTGGAACGAAGCTTTATTTGCCATCACCTGCCAATCAATGCTGCTACAAGGCCCTGAATCCTCACAAGCAACCAAATACAAGCAGAAGCACATGTAAAGTGACATGAATATTTGATAATGTCTTGCCAATCTCACGACCATTACTTCAATTCATTGCCTAAATCTAATATTCTAAATCCAGTAAACCAAGTTGAGAGCAAAAATATGAAAGAATGTAAAACAGAAACACAATCATGGCCGTGGATGGAAAGAATTTCAATAACAGCCTCATGTTGGCATAGAGAGAAGCATCAACCCTGCATGTAAAAGGTAATATGGAGTTTCTGTCAGGGAAAGGTAACAGGAATTTATAAATTACATGTGTAGGCAACACACTGAACAATGAGAACAGCAGGCAGAAAAAGCCTAACCCTGTTAAGTATGAGGCTGCCAGGTAATGACAATGTATTTGTGCATTTCAGCATCTTGGAATCTCCGGCTTGCCGGGGAAGGAAGAAATATAATTTTTGTGGTTGCCATGGATACCTCTGTGTGAAGGTTTTGCTGCGAGTCTCGACTCCTCCAGGAGTTCAGTGAACCGCATGTGTCAACCAGCATTAACCTGCT